AACTACACAGTAGTGAGACCCTGTCTCAACAACAACAAAAAGTTACACTGTCTAGAATTTTTTTTTGAGGAGGTGGTTTTGAATCAGGGTTTCTCTATGTAGCCCTGGCTGTCTTGGAACTTGCTCTGTAGACCAGGCTGGCCTCAAATGCAGAGATCCGCCTGCCTCTGCTTCCCGAGAGCTGGGATGAAAATCGTGCACCACCACCACCACCTGGCTTAATTTTTCATATCTTTAAAATCTCTCAAATTTCATTTATTTGTTTGTTGTATGTATGTATCTATACATTCAAGTGAAAGTCAAAGCCAATTTGTGGAGTTGGTAATCTCTTTCTACCATCTTCACCCCAGAGAATGGAACTCAGGTTGTCAGGGTTGACAGTAAGTGCCTTTAACCACTGAGCCACCTCACCGGTCTTAACGTGTGTGTGTGTGTGTGTGTGTGTGTGTGTGTGTGTGTGTGTGTGTGTGTGTGTGTGTGTGAGTGAAAGGATGACTTTCAGGAGTTAGTTCTTGTCTTTGAGACAGCTTGTTTCTGCTGCTACACTCTGGCAGGTACAGCTGTGAGCTTCTGGCCAATTGTCCCGTCTCTGCCTCCCATCCTCCCATCCTCCCATCCTATTGTGATAGGAATGCTGGGAAAACAGATAAGCGCCACCATATCCAGCCTTTACATAACTCAGGTGATAAGGTTTGCACAGAAAATACTTTGACCCACTGAGCCTTCCCTTTACATCTCATCTGCTGCGGGATCTTTTTTTTTTTCTTTCTGAGATGGGGTTGTTTTGTCTCCTTTTTTTTTTTTTTTTTTTTTTTTTTTTTTTGGTTTTTCGAGACAGGGTTTCTCTGTGTAGCTTTGCGCCTTTCCTGGAACTCACTTGGTAGCCCAGGCTGTCCTCGAACTCACAGAGATCCGCCGGCCTCTGCCTCCCGAGTGCTGGGATTAAAGGCGTGCGCCACCACCGCCCGGCTGGTTTGTCTCCTTTTATTTGGTTTAGTTGAGACAACAACTTACTCTGGATAGCCAATCCTCCTGTCTCAGTCTCGCAAGTACTGGGATTATAGGTTTGTGCCACCACACTGTTGAATCCCGTCCTTTTTTTGTTGTTTTTTTTTTTTTTCGAGACAGGGTTTCTCCGTGTAGTTTTGGTGCCTGTCCTGGATCTCACTCTGTAGACCATGCTGGCTTCGAACTCACAGAGATCCGCCTGGCTCTACCTCCTGAGTGTTGGGCTTAAAGGTGTGTGCCACCGCAGCCCAGCAGAGTCCCGTCCTTTTAAAAGCTGTTTCTGTGGGAATGAGTTTCGGGTTTCTTCCTGGACATCAAGGAACTCTATTGTCTTGTGTGGGGTTGTGCTTCTTACAGGCAGCCCAGCATGCTCAGAAGCAGTCCACTGAGCTCTTCCAGTGCATGTACTTTAAAGACAGAGACCCGGAAACGGAGGAGCGCTGCATTGCTGATGGAGTCATTTATTCAATTAGAACAAATGGTGTACTTGTATTTATACCAAGGTATGTTACTTCTCATGCAGTAGTTAATTAGAAATCACAGTTAAACCATACCAGTGTTGAGCACAAATGATCCATTATATATAACTTACTAAAATATTTATTTAGCCTGGGGGTGTATAGCTCAAAGGTGGAGTGCTTGCCTAACACACAAAGTCCTGGATTTGATACCCCAGAATCACATACAACCAGGTATGGTGATACATGCCTGTAAAGCAAGAGGATCAGAAGTTCAAGGTCATCCATAGTTACATAATGATTTTGATACCAGCTTGCACTACATGAGACCTTATCTCTAAAAAAGAATATAAGCTTGGCATGGTAGCACATGCCTTTAATCCCAACACTCAAGAGGCAGACACAAGCAGATCTCTGAGTTCAAGACCAGCCTGATCTTCAAAGCAAGCTCTAGGCCAGCCACAGCTAGAGTGAGACTCTCTCAAACAAACTATATATTAACATATACAATTCTACATATTCATAAAATTACTATATGTACACAGTGTAACATACAGTCAGGAAATAAAGGGCACAATTGGGAGTACATATATATGCACATCTGTATTAGTCTTAGGATCTTTTTAGCTAGCAAAGCATTGTTTATCTGCTTCTGTAAAAATGTTTTGGAGGTAAACCACAGGAAGAGTGGCTAAGCATAGAAGATCTGCCTACTAAGAATACATTATCTCGGTTTTACCCTGTGATGATTTAGGTTTGGGATTAAAGGTGCTGCTTATCTAAAGAACAAAGACGGCTTAGTGATCTCGTGTGGCCCAGAGAGCAGCTCTGAATGGAAGCCAGGATCCCTGCAACGATCTCAGAACAAGATCACTTCTACCACAGCTGGAGGACAGTCAGTTACATTTCATCTGTTTGACCATGTGACAGTAAGTCTGTGTACTTAGTGTTGTTTTGGGGGGGGGGGGGTTTGGTATTTTTCAAGATAGGGTTTCTCTGTGTAGTTTTGGTGCCTGTCCTGAATCTCGCTTTGTAGACCAGGCTGGTCTCGAACTCACAGAGATCCACCTGCCTCTGCCTCGAGAGTGCTAGGTTAAAAGGCATGCACCACCACCACCTGGCAAGTGTTTTCAATAAGAAAAAAGGGACATGATGTAGTAACATGTGTTTCTCTGTTCTAGGTTAGAATATCCGTTCAGGCCTTGCGTTGCCATTCTGACACCATCAGGCTTGAAATAATAAGTAACAAACCATATATGACTCCAAACCCAGAGCTGTGCCAGCAGAACTCCCTCCTGCTGAAGAGCGAGTTAGTGAAAGAAGTGACCCGATCTGTGGAGGAAGCTCAGCTTGCCCAGGAAGTCAAAGGCAAAGTGCTTCAGGAGTACCAAGAATACTGCCAAACGAAGGGAAGAAGTCTCTACACGCTTCTGGAGGAGATAAGGGATCTTGCTCTTCTGGATGTTTCAGACAGTTATGCAATGTGAAATGCTTCCACTTCAATAAAGAGCTTTGTCTTAGGTGTTGTACTGTCTTTTCAGACTTAAATGTTGTCACTTGTTCCAGCTGAAGGAGATTAAGTGGGTACTTCACATATTCGTGCAATGTTCTCACACCTCACTGAAGTAGAACCAGCTCCCTATATAAACGGGTTTCTTTGTTGTTGGTAGTGGTGTTTTGTTTTGTTGGTTTTGTTTTTTTGAGAGAGGGTTTCTCTGTGAAACAGTTCTGGTGGTCCTGGAACTCACTCTGTAGACCAGGGTGACCTTGAATTCAAGAGATCCATCTGTCGCTGCCTCCCAAGTGCTAGGATTAAAGGCACTACTGGCTACTAGAAACTGGCTTTTCAGCAGTTGAGTAGACAGTGATCAGGCTGTAAAAGGCAGGTTGCTAGTCTCTCTATAGTAAATCCAAAATTATCTTGCTTCAAATCAATTTAGTTTTTTGAGACTGTCTTACTTTGTAGCCTTGGTTGGCCTAGAACACACTATGTAGACCAAGCTGATCGAGATCCTCCTGCTTCTGCCTCCGGACTACTGGGATTAAAGGTATGTGCCACCACACTTGGCTCAAATTGATTATTTCAAATGAAGTTTACTTTTGTAATTTTTACAGACATATTTGGGCCATAGGTCCCTCTGACATCATTTAGCCATTTGGGGTAAGACAGTCCTGTCTACCTTCCTCTTCAAAACTTATTTCATGTTTGATTCACAATTTCCCAATTGTCCTGGCACCAGCTGGACCCAGGGCATAGAGTGGGTGGTGGGCTGCACTCTTAAGTCTTGCCTCAAACTCCTGTCCCACCCTCAAATTCTGTTGTGTGTACCTCCAATGGCCAGGCCTTCCCAAGAGAAGTGTTCCTGAACTCATCACTGGAAAAGCACTTCTCCCACCGGCCCTTCTCTGACTCAGTGAGTGTGCCTGGAAGCCTGATGAGTAAGCCACATCTCCAGTATCAGGGCATGCTGAGACCAGCCTCCATCTTCTAGCTGTTCCCTGTCTAAACAGTGAGCCCATCCTCTTGATTCATTTTCCCCTGGCCAGTCACTGAGATAGTTCCCATAAGCCCACAACCCATAGTGTGTGCCCAACTTCCTGGCTTTTCAAACCATCTGTCACTCCCAATTGACTTGATGTCAGCCCAAGATGTCACCTATCCTGCCTTAGGGATGAAAGCCACTGTAGCATTACCACCCTTTCCCTAAGGAAGAGACCTTTCCTTTAGAACTACTGTCGTCACTAAAGGTTAGCTCCTTTGTCTTCAGTGTTTTCCCAACTCTAGTGGGAATTTGCTGCCAAGAACCAGACCAGAAACTTCTCAGCCTGGTGCTTTCTCAACTCTGGCCCCTCCACCATGCTCATAAAGCAAACAAACTCCAGTCAGGTTCTCTCTTCATCTGGCCCCATCGCCTCTAGCCTCCTAGTCATCATTCCCAAGTCTCTATTTTTGACATTACACACATGCTTCCCAATACTGAGAATCCCCTCTACCAACTGACAATTCTTTCATGTGACCCCTCGCTGCACACTGTCCCTCACAATACTTTCCAAGTTTCTCTCCAACAAATGAATCAGGAACATATGGAGGACCATCCTGATTTCTGGAGATGCTAGTTTCATACCCATGGTCTTACACACCCTACACAAGCCCTCTAGCACATTCTCAACCTATAAACATCTCTGAACTCGCCTACCATCATTAATGGGGAGGCATTATCAACCTTTTATGTGATCTTTTAAACACTAAAGTAACTTCAAAATACAGGCAAGCTGGGTGTTGTGGCACACACCTTTAGTTCTAGCTAATACACAAGGTAGATGCATGCAGATCCCAGTGAGTTTTGAGACCAACTGAGGTTACAGTGAGACCCTGTCTGAAGGCAAAAGTAGGGAGGTTCGCCACAAATTTCAGGCCAGCCAGGACGATGTAATGAGAATGGATCTCAACAAAACAACAGTCAAAACCCTTAACCATTTCAGCAAGTTTAAATTGTGTAACTAACTCATGGTGAGAAACTCAAATCCTGAGAATTGTTTGCAAAACACATTTATTTCTTTATAAAAACAGACCTTAATAGTCAGTGCATATTTACATTTTAAAACATTACCCAATTTAGTGAGAAAGAATTCAGTGTAAACTAGAAATAGCTTATAAAGTCGAATTTATACAGAATACCAAAAATAATAAATAGACTTACTAAAGTAAGTAGGAAACAATTATAGTCATTGTATTTTAAGCAGGAATCCATAGAAGTCTTATGACTTAAGAGACTTACACAAAGTAGAAAAATTTACAAATAACCCCAAACTTGCAAGATTCTGTTGTGGAAGCCTGGTTACTTGGAACATGTCTGGATTAGTCTAAGTTAGTATGGTTCAGCTGTTTGTCCTCTGCTTTGAGCTGTTCCTCTTCATCTGTATTGGCAGAAGGAACATCATGTGGACCATCTGCAGCGTCTGTGTTTAATCCACCTGACTCTTCTTGCTCCTCACCAGTACTGCTCTCTTCAACTGGCTGTGCCCAGGATGTACTCATTAACTCATCTGAGAGAGGAATCATATCATTACTCAATATAAGCAACTGATCCAATCTTGATAAACACAAATCTCTCCAAAAGCTTACTCAGTAGAAACAAATCTATAGTCACCTAATTATGAGTACTAAAATCTAAATAAAAACCAGTTTTTCACACATGCATAAAGCACACTTAAAATGCCAAGGGTCCCAGGAAAGTGGGTGTAGCTCAGTTGTAGAATCAATACAGATTAGCAAGCATGAGGCCCTGGATTCAATCCTGGTACTCTTACATACAAAAGCTAAGGGTCCTAAATGATACTACATTCAATTCTTCAATCTTACTCAAATGTAACTTCTCATTCAAAATAAAACTAGAAAGAGACTCAAAGAAATCAGACACAGAGCAGGCAAAATGACTCTGTTATTAAGGTACTTCCTGTCAAGCCTGAATGACCCAATAGCAGAAGGAGAGAACAGCCTTCCAAGTTGTCCCGACTTGTATGCTGTGGCACATGCAGGAGTAGGCACATATGCACACACAAGCACAATGTCAAGACAAATGCAATTAAGTTTTATGTCAAAGTGATCTATGATAAAGAAAATTTAAGCAAGGATGATGGCACATGCCTATACAGCACGTAGAACCCTGTCTAGGGGAATAGAAAAAGAGACTTTAAGATACTTTTTTGTATTTGGTCAAATTAAGTTATATAGTATAAAAAGAAAATAAGAGCCGGGCGGTGGTGGCGCACGCCTTTAATCCCAGCACTCGGGAGGCAGAGCCAGGTGGATCTCTGTGAGTTCGAGGCCAGCCTGGGCTACCAAGTGAGTCCCAGGAAAGGCACAAAGCTACACAGAGAAACCCTGTCTCGAAAAACGGAAAAAAAAAAAAAAAGAAAATAAGCCTTAAATCCTTGTTGTCAAGTGTACTTTGAGATGGCAAGAAGCAACTGCTATCCATCATTACATCTTTGTGTGATGATTTTTAATATTTGTTATTTTTCATTATGTGTAGCTATGTGCACAGAGTGCAGGAGCGCCTTGAGGTCAGAGTCATCAAATCTCCTGGAACTCCAGTTACTAACAGTCATGAGCTACCTGACGTGGGTGCTGGGATCCCAATTCTGGTATTCTGGAACTGCAGCAAGTATTCTTAACCAATGAGTCATCTCCATCCCTTCATGATTTCTCATATTATACTAATAAAAAAAAGGTTTATTTATGAAGATAAAAATGAGATATCTTAACTGAAAATCAAGACTTGGCTACAACATTCACTTGAGAATTGTTATATTGGATGAAACATTTTACAACAGTATTTACTTACTACAATTCTTTTTTTAGGTTTTCATTTTTATTTATATGTACACGCACACAAGTGTATAGGTGCCCAACGAGGCCAGAAGAGGGCAATGGGCCCCTTAGAACTGCAGTTATAAGCTACTGTGAACCACATGATGTAGGTGCTAAGAACCAAACTCAGGTCCTCTGCAGAAGCAGCAAGCACTTATTTTAACTGCTGACCCACCTATCCAACCTCATTTGCTGTAATTACTTTTTCCATTTCAAAAGAAAACTGGATTACAAACAGACATATTCCCAACTTTTGTTCTGAGACAAGGTCTTTCCTTTGTAGCTCAGGCTAGTCTAGAACTATGTAGTCCAGGATACTCTTGCTTAATCTCCCTGCTTCAGTCTAGTGTATGTCACTAAACCTGGCTCATAAACTTTAAATTACCTTAAAATTAATTCTCAATAATTTCATATAATGTATAATTCTTTTTTTTTTTTTTTTTTTTTGGTTTTTCGAGACAGGGTTTCTCTGTGTAGCTTTGCTCCTTTTCCTGGAAATCACTTGGTAGCCCAGGCTGGCCTCGAACTCACAGAGATCCACCTGGCTCTGCCTCCCGAGTGCTGGGATTAAAGGCGTGCGCCACCACCGCCCGGCCGTATAATTCTTTTAAAACGAAGTTTTGAGGAGAACTAGAGAGAGCACCCAAGTGGCAGCTCACAACCATCTGTAATCCTAGTCCCAGGAGATCTGACACCTCTGGCCTTCCTGGGCACCAGACACACATGTGGTGCACAGACATATCTGCAGGCAAGATACTCATACACATAAAACAGTAAAGTAATAATTTTTCAAATTCAGTTTTGTGGCTGGAGATGGCTAAGCAGTAAAAGAATACTTGCTGCTCTCGCAGAAGACCAGAGTTCTAATCCCACCCCCACATGGTAGCTTAACAACCATCCATCAATTTAGTTCCAGGGGATCCAATGCCCTCTTCTGACCTCTGAAGGGAAAAGGAACAAAAATTGTGCAGACTGCTGGCGGTAAAGGTGTATGCCTTTAATCCCAGCATTTGAGAGACAGAGGCATGTCTAGTCTACAGAGTGAGTTCCAGGACAGTCAGGGCTACACAGAAACCTTGTCTCAAAAGACCAAAATGAAAAAATAAAATAAATTAAGAATAAAAATGGGAAGTTTAAGGTAATTTTTAAAGTGAAAAAGAGGTGTTACAGATAAGTAAACTATAAAAAGCACAACTTACAAAAGTGGAACAATGTAATAAAAAACATTTTAGTACCTACACACACCTGTAATCTCATCACTTTAGGAGGCTGAGGCAGATCATTAAGTAGGTAAGTGGGAAGTTACTTGTGTAACTTAGTAAGACTTAAACTCAAAATTAAATTGAAGGAAAGGCTGAAGATTCAGTTCCTTGAAAAAGTGCTTACCTATCTTGTACAAGCCCCTGTTTCAATCTCAGTATCTGCCAACCCCTAAAAAGGCATTTTAGTACCCTATTTACATCACAGAAAATTACTGCTAATCCTCAGTTAGTACAGAAGACATTGTATTTATTATAAAGTATTACAAGCTGGAGTGGTGGTGCAAGCCTATAATCTGAGCTTTATAAGGCTAAGAAAGGATAAAGACAAGTTCAAGGCCTGGCTAGGTTACCAGAATTAGTTTAAACCTAGCCTGGGCAACCTATCAAGATCCTGTCTCAAAAAAAAAAAAAAAAAAAGGGGGCTGGAGAGATGGCTCAGAGGTTAAGAACACTGGCTGTTCTTCCAGAGGTCCTGAGTTCAATTCCCAGCAACCACATGGCAGCTCACAACCACCTGTAATGAGATCTGGCTCCCTCTTCTGGCCTGCAGGGACACATGCAGGCAGAACACTGTATACATAATAAATAAATAAATCTTTAAAAAAAAAAAAAGTGTATATGTGTGTATGTGCTGAGGATGTAACTCAGTGGTACAATGCCTGCCTAGCATGTGCAAAGTACTGGGTTCAATCCCCAAAACTAAAATGTACTGATTCCACAATAATAATTTTCCTAAGTACGATCCTAAAAATATGTATAACGTGCTTTAAAATAAGTCAGAGAAGAATATACTGTTGAAGAATTTGGCACTCTAAGAGAGTTACCCAGAAAACGATCTTAGACTTAAACATTCTTTACATTCCAAATAGCAAACACACATACACTGACACACACTCTAAAACATACATAAACTTAACATCACTTTTCTATTCCTAGAGGTATTTTATTTCAAGAGATAGTAAAGAAGTTAAAATTTCCTACATGCCCTTGATATTATATGGTAGCTCATAAAAACCAGCATAAAATTTACCATTTTCTAGGGACTGGCTATTACTCAGTAGCTTTGCCTGCCTTCTTTCCAAGGCCAGCTGTTTATTTCTCTCAATTCTCTGTTGCTGCTCTTCTGTTAGGCTTCTACTTGATTCAGAAGCCAACTTCTTGCTGTCAGATGAGCTTGTCAAGAAGGAATCAAATCCAGCAGCAGTTACATCAAGGGGATTAGTTGCTTCTACTTCATCTGCGGCAGAAAATAAAAAGTTAATACAACTTTAGTATTATAGGAGTTAGAGAAACAACTTATACAGCATTCAACCAAAGTTTTAAAATGGCAAGTGGCTTGACCTAAAGAAAAAATTTGTAAGGTATGAGAATGTGGCCAGTATCGGCTGATTCAAGAATTTTTATTTACAAACCATTTTTATGTCGAACTACAAGTTACATCAAGTGGACATGTTAAATATGTAAAAGGAGTCTGGGGAGGTAGCTCAGTTGGGATAGCATACAAAAAGCCCTGGGTTTGATCTCCAATACTGCATATATTTGGTGATAAACCGCTGTAATCCCCATACTTGGGAGATAGAGGCTGGGGTCACCATCAGTAGTGACCTCAAGGTCAGTTTGAGAAACAGATGACCCTGTCTCAAAAATAAAAATACTAAGGCAGTCAAATGTGGTAGGACAGACCTGTAATTCCAGCACAACAGATGGAGGTAGAAGTAGGCAGGGGAATGAGAAGTTCAAGGTTCTGCTACTTAGCAAGTTTAAAGCTACCCTGGGCTACTTGACACCTTTTTTTTTTTTTTTTTCCAGACAGGGTTATTCTGTATAGGCCTGGCTGTCCTGGAATTTGCTCTGTAGACCAGGTTGGCCTCAAACTCAAAGAGATCCACTTGCCTCTGCATCCCTAGTGCTAGGATCAAAGGCGTGGACCACCACCACCTGGCTTGAGACCCCTCTTTAAAAAAAGGAAAGAAAGGAACTAGAGAGATGGCTCAGCGGTTAAAAGCACTGGCTGATCTTCCAGAAATCCTGAGTTCAATTCCCAGCAACCACATGGTGGCTCACAACCATCTGTAATGAGATCTGGTGCCCTCTTCTGGGTTGTGTCTTTCAAAAAAAGGAAAGAAAGATAAAACAACAGGACAATCAGTAGTGAAAGGAAGGGCTATTATATATATATATATATATATATATATATATATATATATATATATATATATATATATATATATATTTTTTGGGTTTTTCGAGACAGGGTTTCTCTGTGTAGCTTTGCGCCTTTCCTGGGACTCACTTTGTAGACCAGGCTGGCCTCGAACTCACAGAGATCCCCCTGCCTCTGCCTCCCGAGTGCTGGGATTAAAGGCGTGCGCCACCACCGCCCAGCAGGATATAATTTTAATAGTGTAGTCAGGAACACATTTTGAAGAGGGTAAGAAAATTAATTATATTGATCCAGGGGAAATTCCAGCTTTTACTTTAAACATTTTGGGGTTTTTTTGTTTTGTTGTTTTTTTTTTTTTTTCCCTTCCAGAGACAGGGTTTCTCTGTGTAGTTTTGGTGCCTGTCCTGGATCTCGCTCTGTAGACCAGGCTGGCCTCGAACTCAGAGAGATCTGCCTGTCTCTGCCTCCAAGTGCTGGGATTAAAGGTGTGAGCCACCACTGCCCGGCCCAGCTTTTACTTTTAATGAAATAAGAAGCTGCTTCAATTAAGGCAGAGAACTGATTTGACTGACAATAAATTTATTAGAAATATAAAAATCTTAGCCAGGCAGCAGTGGCACACGCCTTTAATCCCAGCACTCAGGAGGCAGAGGCATGCAGATCTCTGTGAGTTCAAGGCCAGCATGATCTACAGAGCAAGTTCCAGGGCAGCAAAATTACAGTTACAACTGAAATAGAAATGAAATAATTTTATGGTTGGGGGTCACCCCAACATGGGAACTATATTAAAGGGTCACAGCATTAGGAAGGTTGAGAACCACTGATTTAAAGCATAACAGAATTCTATATGGAGTCTATTATTACTCACCAAATATATTACTAGTTAAAAAAAAAAAAATGAGGGGCTGGAGAGACAGCTCAGTGATTAAGAACACTTGCTGCTCTTGCAGATGACCAGACTTTGGTTCCCAGCACCCATGTTAGGTAGCTGTACAAATCTCTTAAGCAAAGAGTAGGTACTTAAAGGAAACCTTTTGAGAGCATGCATGCAAACTCCAACAGATTCCTACAGGCTTTGATAAACATGTGCTTTTATACTGAAGAAAGAAAATAAAATAATCTTACGCCAAAACAAAACACAGCTCCTCTCCATCAAGCAGAGGAGCATCAAAAGCACTCATACATACACATATTCACATACAGATGCACACCTTTTTTAAAGTATTTATGTATGGAGCCATCGCACAGAAAATCTGATAACTATACAGACTCTGTCGGCAGGAACCAACTGTTTTGATGTATGTGACCGTCCATGGTTGCACTGTACAATTAACAAATGCAATCAATACCAGGAACAGTCACAAAGGTCTTCATAAAGTCCTACAGCCATGGAGCTGTTTGGTTTTTTTTTTCTTTTGAAACAAGATCTTGCATACTCCAAGTTAGCCTCAAATTCACTACATAGTCAAGGCTGGCCTTGAACTTCTGCATCTCCTACTTCCACTTGCCATATGTGGGAATTACAGACATATGTTACCACATTGCTCAAGAATCAACATGCTGAATGAAATGGAAATCTCCATCAATAAATTATTCTTCCTAATTTCCCACAGACAGTTTTTCTGACGGTTTACATGCATATCAACACTCTAGTTTGACGTGTACTTGTACTATCAAGAACTGTAAAAGATCAAAGAAGTCAGCAGGCTTTATTCAATCCTTGGAACCTACACGATGGAAAAACCAACTCAACTCCAGAAGTTGCCCTGATCTCCACACACTCGTCATGACACATGAGCACAAATACAACATAAATGCTAAAAATGTCCCTATTTTATAAATATTTTCTGTAATTGTCTAATGATAGTACAATTGTATCATTTTTTTATTGTTTATATATCTGAGATAGGGTCTCAGTATGTAGCCCTGGCTGTCCTTGGAGCTCCTTATATAGACCAGGCCTCAAACTCAGAAAGCTCTGCCTGCCTCTGCTTCCTGGGTGCTGGAATTAAAGACATGTGCACCACCCTGCCAGGCTATAATCATACCTTTAGGAAATAAATTTCAAGACAGAAGGAATCAGGGGAAGGAAACATGGACTTGAACAAAGTACAATGACATACACATGAAAATCTCATGGTGAAGCACATTCTTTTGGTGGGGAGGAGGTGAGACAGGGTCTCTCTATGTAGTTTTTGCAGTCCTGGAACTATGTAGACTAGGTTGGCATTCGATTCACAAAGATCCACCTGCCTCTGCTCCTAAGTGCTGGCATTACCACACAGTGGTAGCACATGCCTTTTTAATCCCAGCACTCGGGAGGCAGAGGCAGGCGGATCTCTGAGTTCGAGGCCAGCCTGGGCTACAGAGTGAGTTCCAGGAAAGGCGCAAAGCTACACAGATAAACCCTGTCTTGAAAAACAAAAAAGAAAAAAAAAGGCATGTTGCCACCATACCTGGTTAAAACTCATTCTTTTCTATGCTAACTAAAACTAACAAAAAAGAAACAAGTATCAAATGTAACTATTACTGGGCTAAGGAGCTGTCTCAGTGGGTAAGACACTTGCTGTGAAGCCTGACAACCCGAGTACAATCCCTGGGATCGACACAGTGGAAGGCTGTCCTCTGTAGTAAATACCCACATGAATAAATAGGTGCTCATTACACTCACACATTTACCAAATTCTAGACTTAATTCATGGTATAGCTATTAACTACACTGTAATTACATAATGGGCTAAGACCTCGCTTGTATATATAATATCTCCTATCCCAGCTAGACCCATTTCTAAAAGCTAAGTTGTGATAAAGTAAATAAACTTGTAATTACCATTATTGTTAACAAAATCTTCATGTACAATAGGAAGATCAAGTCGAATTCGTTTTAAACAGGTCTGAAAGAAAGACATTTTTTTTTCATTTTTATCATGTTAGAGAGGAAACAATCACTTATTTATATCTGAAAGAGTTGTTCTTCAAATAATGACTATTAATTTTCATGTCTAACAAGACAGATTTCAAAAGGAAGACCCAATAGCAATTCAGCCTCAACTAAGCCCATCCTTGTACTACTTAGCATTGTGAATGACATTCATGATAATCACACTTACCTGAACCTCCTTTTTATTTCCTAGGTTTTCAACTCTGTCAATAAAATCTTCAAATTGCAGCTTGGGGAATAGCCTATGCGCCCAGTGCTCCATGTGTCTGATTAGCGTTTTCAAGTCTTCAGCCTGACACATAAAAATAAAAATGCTGAACAGAAGACTCAATCTCACAGCTGACCCTGTCAGCAGATTTTAGCATTTAAAGGCAATGCCAAAGTCACTGCTGTCATATTTATAAGGCTAAGAAACTTTTAGAAAGAAATAGAAAGTTCTAAAGGCTTGGAAGACCACAATCTCAGAAAGCATAGAGTAAGAGCACTGAATACAGATTTTGTTTTTAGAAATTAGAAGGAAATATAGTAGTACAGGGCTAGGAAGACAGTTCAGTTGGCTAAGTGCCTGTAGAATAAGCCTGAGAACCGGTGTTCAATCCCTAGCCCCACATTAAAAAAAAAAAAAAAAACCAAGTATAGTGGCTATACTGGCTACTTATGTCAACTTGACACAAGCTAGAATCACTGGAGAGGAGGGAACCTCCGTAGAGAAAATGCCTCAGTAAGATCAGATTCTAGGCAGGCCAGTAGGGTATTTTCTTAACTAATGACTGAGAGCGCCCAGCCCATAGTGGATGGTACCATTCTTGGGCAGGTGGTCCTGGGTTCTGTAAGAAAGCAGGCTGAACAGAGAGTAAGTCAGTAAGCAGCACTCCTCCATGGCCTCTGTTTCAGCTCCTGTCTCCAGGGTCCTGCCCCATTTGAGTTCATGTCCTGACTTCCTTCAGTGACGAACAATATGGAAGTGTAAGTCAAATAAACACTTTCCTCCCCAACTTGCTTTTAGTCGAGGTGTTTCTTCACAGCAAAAGAAACCCTAAGACAGTGGCAGACCCTTGCAATCCTAGTGCTGAAGAAACAAAGACAGGCTGATACTGAGGCTCACTGGATAGAGTCTGAGGAAGCACATCTGAAGTTGAACTCTGGCAACAACACACATGCACACCCACACACACTGAGGGGAAACAACAATACAAAATTAGAACAAAGTTGCCAGGTATGGTGGCACACACCTTTGATGCCAGCACTGGGGAGGCGGGTAGATCTCTGAGTTTGAGGCCAGCTTGGTCTATACAGAGAAACCCTGTCTGCCTGTCTCTCTCTGATTTTTGTTTTTTAAGACAGGGTTTCTCTGAATAACAGCCCTCGATGTCCTGGCACTTGCTGTATAGACCAGGCTGGCCTGGAATTCAGAGATCCGCCTGCCTCTGCCTCCTGAGTGCTGGGAATAATGGGGTGCACCACCACACCCATTGAGAAACCCTGTCTCAGATAAATAGATAGATAGACAGGTAGGTAGGTAGATAAATCTTTTTTTTTTTTTTTTTTTTTTTTTTTTTTTGGTTTTTCGAGACAGGGTTTCTCTGTGTAGCTTTGCGCCTTTCCTGGAACTCACTTGGTAGACCAGGCTGGCCTCGAACTCACAGAGATCCGCCTGGCTCTGCCTCCCGAGTGCTGGGATTAAAGGCGTGCGCCACCACCGCCCGGCTCGATAAATCTTTATCAATGATAAAATGTCTCAAAAAAACTAACCACTAATCATTGGGGCTAAAGAGATGGCTCAGTGGTGAAGAGCACTTGCTGCTGCAGAGGACCCAGATTCAGTTCCCAACACCTAAATGACAGCTCAAAACCATCTGTACCCTCAGTTCCAGATCTTACACCCTCTTCTGACCTCTACTAGCATTGTACACACACAGTACACAAACATATATGCAGGCAAAACCCTCACATACATAAAAAAAAATAGATATTGTAATTTTTTTTTTTTTTCTGAAGACAGGGTTTCTCTGTGTAGCCCTGGCTATCCTGGAACTTGCTCTGTAGACTAGGCTGTCCTGGAACTCAGAGATCTACCTGCCTCTGCCTCCCAAGTGCTGGGATTAAAGGTGTGTGGCACCATGCCTGGCTTGTTTTTTTTGTTTGTTTGTTTTGTTTTTTTAAAGATTTATTTATTTATTATATATACAGTATTCTACCTACATGAATGCCTGCACACCAGAATAGGGCGCCAGATCTCATTAGGTGGTTGTGAGCTACCATGTGGTTGCTGGGAACTGAACTCTGGACCTCTAGAAGACCAGTCAGTGCTCTTAACCACTGAGCCATCTCTCCAGCCCCTCACTACAGCTATTTCTCTAGAGGTTATCATAGACTAACAATAGTATCTGTGATGTATGCAGGATAACAGACCCAGTCTCACTGTTATTTTTTAAAAACAAAGAAGCTCTAAAATAAGACAGGTGTGATGACACAGCCTTTAATCCCACCACTTGGGAGGCAAAGGCAGGCAGATCTCTGTGAGTTCAAGGCTGGTGTATTGGTCACTGTACTATTGCTGTAAAGAGACACCATGACCAAGGCCACTCTTTATTAAAAAAGCATTTAAGGGGCTGGAGAGATGACTCAGCAGTAAAGAGCACTGACTGCTCTTCCAGAGGTCCTGAATTCAATTCCCAGCAACCACACGGTGGCTCACAACCATCTGTAACAAGATCTGGTGCCCTCTTCAGGCATGCAGACAGAACACTGTGTACATAAATAAATAAATCTTTTTTAAAAGGCATTTAAGTGGGGTCTCATTTACAGTTTCAGAGGCTTAGTCTATTATCATCCTAACAGGGGGCATGGTGGCATACAGGCAGGCACTAGAGAGCTACATCTTGATCCATAGGCATAGAGAGCAGAAGTGGGCCTGGCATGGGCTTCTGAAACCTCAAAGCCCAATCCCAGTGACAACAGGCTAAATCTCCCAATCCTCTAATCTTTTCAAATAGTGCCACTCCCCAGTGACTAAGCCTTTAAATATATGAGGGGGTGGCAGTCTTATTCAAATCACCATAGCTAGCCAGGGCCAGATAGTGATAGTGCTGTCTCAAAAAAATTAAGTAAGTAAAGTCTAAAATAAAAACCAGGGCTGAAATGTACTCCAGCAGTACTGTTCAGCATGTGTTCAAGCACTTGCCCTGGATCCAATATCCAGTACTAAGAAAGAGGATTAAATGTTTCTTACCTCATGACCCTTCCCCTTGAATTTTGTGTTATCAAACACATGCCTTAAGGCTGGAAGCCCTCTCTCTGAAGTTAATCTGTGAAAAGAAATATATTTTGAATTTCAGGTTTTCTAGCTATGTCAAAACTAAGACCATGAAAAAAAAAATTTCCTCTTGAATTTGAAAAAGAAAAAAGAAAATGTTTTCGGGGGGTAGGGTAAGGGTGTTTACAGAACTATCTGATTTCCAAATCATTCAACCAAAGCTTGTAACTGTAGAAGAAAAACACTGTGTGGAAAACTGTAAGTGTATGAGAGTAAATGTCCATACCTAGTAGCATCTAGCTTGGGTAGATTCCTTTTAACTGTTCTCTTTGGCGGTACAGGAACAGGTGCTCCACTCCCTGATTCTAGTGAAACAGAAAAAAATTTAGTGTTTAAAAATTTAAGCCCTGGGCCCTGAAGATGGATCAGTTGGTAAAGGCACTAGCCACCAAGCCTGACTACTTATGTTCAATCTCCCATACCCACATGGCAGAAGAGAACTGGCTCCTGCAAGTTGTCCTCTGACCTCCATATACACACACAGTGGCACCAATGTGCCCACATACATTCAGATACACACAAATAAGTAAATACAGTAATCCTTTAAAATTCAAGCCTTATTTACAAAATGTACCATTTCTAAATTAATCTACTATCATTTCTAAATTAATCTGCTATCATCTTAAATTAATCTGCTAAAGCAGGATTGTAAGAACAAGGTTAGCCTGGAATATACTGTGAAACCTTGTCTTAAAAACCAACGAACAAACCAGATGGTAGTGGTACATGCCTTTAATTCTAGCACTAGGGAAGCAGAGGCAGGAAGATCTGAGTTTGAGGCCAGCCTGGTCTATAAAGAGAGTTCCAAGTTTCCAGCCCTCATCTGAGAGTCCAGGTGGTGTGCAAGTTCATAAGACAGCAGAGAGTCAAGGCTTTAAAAAGAGAGAGAGAGAGAGAGAGTGTTCCAGGACAGCCAGGGCTACATGGAGAAATCCTGTCTAAAAAAAAAAACCAAACCAAGCAAACAAACAAAAAACAAATTAAAGGGACACTTGTGAAATTCTCGATACAGACCTTCATCAGGTTCAGCTTCTACAGGATCTCTCTCAGGAGAGGCTGGAGGTGGGAAGGGAGGAAAAATTTCATCTTCTACATGTTCATAATCTGGCATTTCAAACAAGCCATTCTCTTCTTGCTCTGACATCTTTTCCTCCAGAAGAAAAAAAAAAAGTTATTTTTATCCATCCAAAACAGTCTTCTTAACTATCACATAATCTAGTTCCATCCACAGCAAAAGCCATATTTCAATCACTTAAACCGCATTTCAAATTCATCAAAGATAACAAGTAGAGAAGATAATAAGTATGGAGAAAAACAATTAATCAGAATCGAGCTGCAATGTAGACTCTAGGACTAAATAACTACATGTTTTTTATTGTTGATATTCATGGGTGCTTTGCCTGCCTGTATGTCTGTGCACCAAATGTATGCAGTGCCTGTGGAGACCAGATGATATCAGACCACTAGGAATTCAAGTTACAGTTTTGAGCTGCCAAGTAGATGGGAATCAAACCCAGGTCCTCTGTAAGAACAGCCAGTGCTCTTAACTGTTACTTAACCACTGAGACGTCACTCCTCCAGTCCCCAAGTACAAATTTTTATTCTTCCAACCTAGACCATAATTTGGGACTGCAAATCCCTACTATCCATTTTGCAGTTCTCAAGTGTCTCAAGGGCATTTATTAGCTCATCATATACAAAACTGAATAACTAAATGTCCTCAATTCTGTGAGGTGACACCCACCAAGCTGTTCAAGTAAAAGAATTACAAGTCATCTTTGACACTTCCTTCCTGTACTCAATATAGCCTGTCCATTTAATTTTTGAAATATTCCTTTAATATTTTTCCTTCAGCCAGGCAGTGGTGGCACACGCCTTTAATCCCAGCACTCATAAGGCAGAGGCAGGTGTACCTCTGAGTTCAAGGCCAGCCTGTCTACAAGCGGTTTCAGGTCAGCCAGGGCTACACAGAGAAACCCTGTATCAAAAAAACAAACAAAAAAAAGAAGCAATAGAGCTGGATGAGATGGTGCACATGTTAATCGAAGCACTCAGGAGTCAGAGGCAGGCATATTTGAGTTGAGGCCAGTATGATCTACATAGCAAGTTCAGGACAGCAAGGGCTAAAGAGAAGTCCTGTCTTGAAAAACCGTAAAACAAAACAAAACAAGACAAAACAAAAAAAAAAAAAAAAAAACCTCACTTTACCAAACATCCAGGTTCTTTAAAGTGAAAATGGTTTTTTGCAGGAATTTGAAAAGAGAGAGTATGAGAGATATGGTATTAGGTGAAGTTGGCATGGCATAAATTTTATTCTTTTTTGTTTTTTCAAGATGGTTTCTCTGTGTAGCCCTGACTATCCTCTAACTCAAGAGATCCACCTGCTTCTACTTCCTGAGTGCTGGGATTAAAGGCCTGCCCCACAACCACTCAGCTAAATTTTTTTAAATTTATTTTTATTTCATGTTCATTCATGTTGTGCCTGCATGTATATGTCTGTGTGAAGGTGCTGGATCCCCTGAAACTGGAATTACAAGCAGTTATGAGCTGCCATGTGGGTGACGGGAATTGTACCTGGGTCCTCTGGAAGAGCAACCAGTGCTCTTAACTGTTAAGCTATCTCTCCAACCACTTATTCTTTTTTTAAAGGGGTCTCTTGGTCCAGGCCAGCCTTGAACTTGCTATGGAGCCAAGGCTGGCCTTGAGTTCCTGATTTTCTTTCTTTCAAGTGCTGGGATTACAGGTGCCATCATGCCTAGCAAGTTCATGCCTAGTAACTTGCTCTGTAGACCAGGCCAGCTTCAAACTCAGCCGAAATCCACCCGTTTCTGCCTCCTGAGTACTGGGAATAAAGGTAAGCACCACCACCCCCAAGCAAAGATTTATTTTTACCTATGTGTTCGCCTGTGTTTATGAGCAACATGCATGTGTAGGTATCCAAAGAAGCAAAAGGGTGATGGATCAGGGCTGGAGAGATGGCTCAGAGCACTGGCTGCTCTTCCAGAGGTCCGGAGTTCAGTTCCCAGCAACCACATGGTGGCTCACAACCATATGTAATGAGATCTAGTGCCCTCTTCTGGCTTGCAGGCATACATGCAGGCAGAACACTGTATACATAATAAATAAATTGAAGAAAAAAAAAAAAAAAGGTGATGGATCACCAGAATCTACAAGTTACAAGGTTTGAGTGGTGGGAACAGAACCCAGCTCCTTTTCAAGAGCAGTAAACATTACACCCTCTAAGTATCATTTTTGTTGTTTGAAATAAGGTCTTATCTGGGCCAACCTGGCTTCCAACTCCTGATCTTCCTGCCTCTACTCCCCAAGTGCTAGCATTACATGCATTTTGAAAGCTTTTCCCTGACCCCTAATTTCTTTCAAGTTTTAACCATTACCTCACCAGGAAAACCTATCTCAAATCAGGAGTGATGGCACAGCCTGTGATCCCAACACACAGAAGGTAGAGGCAAGAGGAACAGAGTTCAAGGCCACCCTCAGTTATACAGACTCAGAGACAGACCATTCAAATGTCCCTAAACTGTGTGTGTGAGCACACGTGCAAGCCGAAGGACAACCTCTACAAGTTCTCTCCTTTCACCCTCTTGGAATCAGATTCAAATCATCAGATTTATACTGCAAGCACTTTTACCTTGACGGCCCAGAATCCTCTTTTAAGAATGAATATCACCATGCAGAAGTTTCACAGGAATCATTATTTCTCTTTAGGTTTTATTTATTTATTTAAATTTTTTTTTGTTTTTTTGGTTTTTTTTGTTTTTCGAGACAGGGTTTCTCTGTGTAGCTTTGCGCCTGTCCTGGAACTCACTTGGTAGCCCAGGCTGGCCTCGAACTCACAGAGATCTGCCTGGCTCTGCCTCCCGAGTGCTGGGATTAAAGGCGTGCGCCACCACCGCACGGCTGGTTTTATTTATTTAATGTTAGTCTCCTATATTGAATTGTAGCTCTCTTAGAACAAAAAATCATACAGGTCAGATTTTGTGTACCACCACTATGTTCCAAATGTGGTACACAACGGGTACTCAATATATATTTACTCAAGAAAAAAATTTAAAAAGAGGGCTGGAGAGATGTCTCAGAGGCTAAGAACACTGGCTGTTCTTCCAGAGGTCCTGAGTTCAATTCCCAGCAACCACATGGTGGCTCACAACCATCCGTAATGAGATCTGGTGTCCTCTTCTGGCCTGCAAGCCTACATGTAGGCAGAATACTGTATACATAATAAATAAATAAATCTTAAAAAAAAAAGAATTAAAAAAGAATTCCAGGCCAGTAACAGTGATATGCACTGTAATCCCAACACTCAGGAATCTAAAGCAGGAGCTCAGGAGGCCAGTCTGGGCAACAGAGTCCTCGTCTATGCACACACACAACACACAACGCAGCTCAGTTGGTGGAGAGCTTGGCTAGCATTCACAAAGACCTGGGTTCAAATTCCCAGTACCCCATAAACTAGGTGTGAGTGTGAAGAGGTGCACGGGCTTGTAATACCAGCCCTCAGATCAGTGTGCCAGCACCCACACTGAACAGCTCACCAATGCCTGTAACTACAGCTTCAGGCGATTTGACACCTGACCTCATGTGCACATATCCCTCGACTCACACATTCTTAAAAATAAATCTTAAAAATAGTAAACTTCGAGCTGGGCGGTGGTGGCGCACGCCTTTAATCCCAGCACTCGGGAGGCAGAGCCAGGCGGAGCTCTGTGAGTTCGAGGGCCAGCCTGGGCTACAGAGCGAGATCCAGGACAGCCAGGGCAACACAGAGAAACCCTGCCTCGAAAAATCTAATTTCCAGCCGAACACTTCCCACACCTGTGACTGACGTACCCTTTTTACCCCCGGCTGTCAAACAGAAGCTCCTCACCTTCAAGGACTCCAGCATCCCGACTCACCCCGGGGCCATCCCTAAAATTATCACACCTCTCCCTTCCCTCTTCTCCAGCCTTCCCATCCTCCCTCCCGTCCAGTCATCTTCTCTCATCCACATTCTCTGTTCCGACGCTCGGCGCGAAGGGTCCGTGCGCGCGGGAAAGGCAGCACCTCAGGGGCAGGCCCGCCATGCTCCCGCCCCGGGGCGCCTCCCGCCCGCTCCGTCTGGTCCTCCTCAGCCTCCCTGCCGCCTGGCTCTTGCGACCCCAGTTCCCGCGCCCCACGCCCCGCGCCCCGCGCCCCGCGCTGAGCTTCTAGCACAGCCTCTCCTTCCAGAGACGCCCTCACCGAACCCGGTCTCACCTCACACAAACGGCAACCACCGCCGACCGCGCGAACAGCGCCTCTCGCGAGACTCAGGAACTCCCCTCCGCGAGAAGAGTTGGGAAGTTTGGCGCCGACGGTGCGCGAGGCGGCCTGGGCGGGGCCTGGGCGGGGCCTAAGGACCTGAGCCCCGCCCACCCGCGCTCGGAAGCCGGGCAAGCCGGCTTGCCCATCCGGAGCATCTCAATAATGTGGTGCTCGGAGTTCGTACTTTGTAGGCACCTCGTTAGCTTTCGAAGTAGGTCTCCGTAGAAACGGAGTGGTGGAGGCCGGGGAGTGAGAGCGTTCGCCTGGAATCCCAGCACTGGGGATTCGGAGACAGGCCGATGTCTCTGAGTTGGAGGCCAACATTGTCTACAAAGCGACAACCAGGATTGTTACACAGAGGAACTCTGCCTCAAAAAGCAAACAAACAACAACAACAACAAAAAGATAAAGATGCTAGAGAGGTGGTTTAATCATTAAAAGCGCTTGTTGCTCAGGCAGAGGACTCAAGTTTGGTTTCCAGCACTGACATAATGGGTCACAACCTTGTATACTACCAGGGCCTCTGAGGCCCTCTTCCGGCCTCCCGAGCACCAAGCACCCTAGTGGGTCACATACAAAAAGCCATGCAAATAAAAGACGTCCTAAAAAAAAAAAAAAAAAAGAGGTGGGGGTGGGGCGGGGCTGGAGAGATGGTTGTGCAGTTAGAGTACTGGCTGCTCTTGCAGATGTCCTGAGTTCAATTCCCAGCACCCACATGTCAGCGCTCACAACTGTCTGTAACTCCAGTTCCAGGGGATCTGAAACCCTCACACAATGTCCAAAAAATAAAATTAAATAGATTTTTTTTTAAATGAGATGGTGAGAAAAACAACCATTGCTAGCCTCTTGACTCTGTACCCCAACATCCACCTACAAAATAATAATAGAGCTGGATGAAGCCAAGCGGTGGTGGCACACGCCTTTAATCCCAGCACTTGGGAGGCAGAGACAGGTGAATCACTGTGAGTTCGAGACTAGCCTGGTCTACAAAGCGAGTTCCAGGACAGCCAGGAATGTTACACAAGAGAAACCCTGTCTCGAAACATCAAGAAAAGAAACAGCTGGATGGAACTGGAGAGATTGCTCAACAGTAAGTATTTGCCGCTTCTGTGTTAATCCCAAAGATTTGAGGAGAAAGACCACGGACAAAAATTATCATGGCTAAATTAGTTAAAGCAAACTTTTTTATTCACATACACTAAAAGTGGGGCTTAAGGGGCTGGAGAGATGGCTCAGAGGTTAAGAGCACTGGCCGCTCTTCCAAAGGTCCTGAGTTCAATTCCCAGCAACTGTATGGTGACTCACAACCATAAAAATGAGATCTGGTGCCCTCAGGCAAAACACTGCATACATAATAAAAATAAATAAATGTTAAAAAAATGGAGTTCAAGAGATCAGCCTTGGATGTGAGGAAGACAAGGTTTTTATAGCTCGGGTAGGGATTTCCAAATGGGACATTTGGTGGGCAAAATAGGTGGGGCTACAGGAGCAGAACATAAGCGTAATGTTCCACCTTCTGAAGCAAAGTTGTGGTTGCAAGGTAGTTGATAACAACATGGTCATAATAACCTTTTGAAACAAAGGTAGGGTTGCAAGATGGTTATTACAACTTTTTGAAACAAAGACATGGTTGCCATTTCCTGGAACAGGCAGTATAGAACCATTTGTAGTTAAGGTCACAGGTGGGAAGCAGCCCAGTCCTTGAGAAACAGATTTAATCAAAAACAGGAATGAAACTAGTTTGTCTTTACTATAAAATGGCTTTTAAGCCTCAAATGAAGACAAACTGGTTCATCACTTGCAGAGAATACAGGTTCTGTTCCTAGAACCCACATGACTACTCATAACCACCTGAAACTCCAGGTCCAGAGGCTCTGCTGCCCTCTGCTGACCTCTGGAGGCACTGCACACACATGCATGCACATAAAAGTCATACACATAAAATAAAAATTAATAAAATTTAAAAACATAATTAGAAGCCAGGCCGTAGTACCACAGGCCTTTAATCCCAGCACTTGGGAGGCAGAGGCAGGCAGATCTCTATAAATTCAAGGCCAGCCTGGATTTTTTTTTTTTTTTTTTACAGTGCAAGTTCCAGGACAACCAGGAAACCCTGTCTCTCGGGAAACAAAACAAAACAAACAAATACAAAGAAACACATAATTAGGACCGGAGCAATCCCTTAGCGAATGAGGGCTCTGGCCACCAAGCCTGACTGAGTTCAGTGCTTGAGACACACTAAGTGAAAGGAGAGAACACACTCCTGAAAGGTTGTTCTTTGACCTCCACACGTGGGCCACAATGTACACGCATGTGCACACACACACACACACACACACACACACACACACACTGTTGTAGAATATTAGAGATGTGTTATATTTTTTATGCTGTGGAATATTTGTTTAGTGATGCAAAGAAGTGTTGCATTCTTTTATGTTGCATATATTTAACTCTGTGAAGCTGTGTTACTGTGCCTGTCTAAAACACCTGATTGGTCTAATAAAGAGCTGAACAGCCAATAGCAAGGCAGGAGAAAGGATAGGCAGGGCTGGCAAGCAGAGAGAATAAACAGAAGGAAGAAGAGAATGAAAAAAAGGAGGAAAGAGGACCAGGGGCCAGACACCCAGCTACACAGCAAGCCATAGAGTAAGGAGTAAAGAAAGGTATACAGAATAGAGAAAGGTAAAAGCCCAGAGGCAAAAGGTAGATGGGATAATTTAAGTTAAGAAAAGCTGGCTAGAAATTAGCCAAGCTAAGGTCAGGCCTTCATAAGAAAGAGTAAGCCTCTGTGTAGTTATTTGGGAGCTGGGTGGTGGGCACCCAAAGAGAGAAAGAGTAAAGAAAATTCAACAACAAACATAGTAACACATACACAATGAATTAGTAATATAATTTTTAAACAGTAAAAGCACAGCCTGAGAGATGACTCAGCAGTTAAGACCACTTGTTGGTCTTCCTAGGGGCTGGAGTTGGGTTCCCAGTACCCAGTGGTGGCATACAATCATCTGTAATTCCAGTTTGAGGAGATCTGATGCCCTCTCCTGATCGACTCAGGTACCAGACATACATATGTGGTACGAAAACATTCATGCAGGGAAAAAAAATCATACACATAAAATAAATACCCTGAAAAAACTTTAAAACTAATTTTATCTATTTGATTTTAATGTAATATTTGATACAAAACAATAAATATTTACATATATTACAAAATGTGCTCCATGGAGCTGTAGCTAAGTGGTAGAATGCTTGCCAAGCATTCGAAGAGTCTGGGATCAACTCCCAGCACCACAAAAAGAAAGAAAGGAAGGAAGAAAGAAAGAGAAAAAAG